GAAATACGGAGGTTTGAGGTGACATTGAGGAAGTGCTAATTTTGTCATGATGACATCTCTTGTTTTCTTGAGCAGTGTTGAAAAACAGGGCCAGTGACAATGGAAGGTCCTGGCAGTGCTGATGTTTCCATGTGTCCTGTACTGCCCTGGAGCCTCAAGACATAATGGCCCACCTAAATGTGCCAGTCAGTGGAGAGCAGACATTTGTTTTAACTACATTTTGCATGTTCAACTGGCTGGAGAACTTGCTAATTTTAGAGATATCTTGGTCCATGTTCAAGAATATATAGATTCAAGCACAATGTCTACTGGCTATCTACTAAATATAACTAATATCTTTGCAGAATATATCAGTCTTCCTTAAGACATCCTATTTTGATGCCAGATGACAACATTACAAAAGAAATTTTTTTTTTTATCTTTACAGCATTTTGTTTGCTACACCCAAGTGCTTACAACAACCAAATGATACTCATTATCTCTGGTCATGGGTCAGCACGTGTCTATGGGGATAAACTGGTGGAAAAAGACTGTAATTTCTGTTATAAAATGGTGATGGACACTACAGACAAATATTTTGAGGAATGTTAGTAGCTGGAAAGTATTTTGCCTTGTGCCAGCAAGTAAAAAACTGAGTGGTGACAGGTTTTATTTATTAGAACTCTGTGTAGCTGTGGAGAGCTACCTGAGGAGTTCCCATGGAGCTACATTGACATGCCTGCTTCTGTGAGCCCAGCCTTGTCTGAGGGTGCCATGCAGTGGGTGTAACTGGAATATCTATGAAGCGAACATGTAATCCATCATGATGCTGAGCTTGCATGAAGTCATTGCTTTTTGCTGCTCAGGGCTTGTTGCAGTGCAAACTCATAACACTCTTAATGGAAGGTTTATGCAGGGCACCAGCTGATAAATGGACTTCATTGGTGCCCTTATGGAAGAGCAGATTGTGGCTCAGTGTTAAAAATAAGCTCCATTTTGTTTGTTTGAACAGAGATTCACCAGGGTTTTTTTCACTACACAGAAATTAACACCACTTATTTTCTGAGGCTGGAGAGATAATCTATAATGCTGTAGATAGTTTGCCTTATCTTTTAATTAGTTAATTATGTAGCAGGCCTTTATAAGAAAAGCAATATTTGTCTTTTGTTTCCAAGAAAGGGAAAATGCTTTTAAATTAGATCAGTTTAAAGCAAGGACAATACCGTAAGCATACAGTAAATAATGCCACTGCATAGCGTACCTGGAGTTGCTTTGCTGCCCAGCTGCTGTACATTTCAAATCTAAACAAGCCAGAACTTCTAAGTGTCATCATAAATTTACTTTATTTATCCATAACTTTTTCTTTCATACATATGCTTACCTTACTTCAGTTCAATGTAATTTGTTTTTTTCATGCCAGGCAATATCTTAGTACCCATCATGGCTCCAAATCTCAGCTTCTATTTCTAAAATCTGATTTACTACATTTGCTTTGTTTTCCTGCCCAGAAGAAAACCAGCCAGTTTTCAGAAGATGAAGATTTTGCTGAGTAAGTGAGGGACAGACTTAATTGTTGCTCCTTGTCATTATTTGTAATCTTTCTTCAACAGATCACCATCACATGTGTAATTTCAGTGATTTCCAGAAAGAGACAGAGGCCCCTGCTGGCAGAGATTAGCTTTGTTTAAGCAGTTTGTATTATTTGCAGTGTCAAATGGTTTAACACACAAACTTTTCTCCTCAGTGAGTTGTACTAGGATTTCAGGGTCATCAGCTTTCACTTTGCACATAATCAGACAGAAGCTATGTAAGAAAAGGTACTCTTGACAAAGCAATCTATTGTAGGAGTTTTGCTCCAAGAGGATTAAAGAAATGCTTAAATTTCAAAGATAATCATGGGGACCTTTCATAGGGACTGTAGATTTTTTTTTTTAGGCTGAATTAGAGGTTGATGTGATAATCATCAGACCTGCAGACAGAAGCCTTCTCAGGTATCTCTAGTTTTGCTTGAAAATGTTGGTAAGCTATTATCTTCTCTCTAAAGTCTGGTGACTGAGAGTGGTATCCCAGTTTGGCAAACAAAGTGGCAGGCTATCTTAGGCTTACAGTTTGGCAGTCCTGGAAAAGTGGTTGTGAAATTAAATCCTGTAAGTTTTTTCTGCAGTTTTTATGGTTCGGTTTTTTTTAACGGATCCATTGTGAAATCATGAATAAGACTGACATAGTTCTACAGTGAAGACAAAGAGAATTGGCTTCCAGTAATGTTTTGATTGGACAGGTTTTTAGCTCTTTATTAGATGCAATCAGATTAGACACATTATACCTTTATTTAAGAAGGTTCTCATCAATGTTTTTTTCAAGGCTTTTTTCAATAATTTTTTTCAGTGGCATGAGACACAAAGAGAATGAAGGGGATATCTCAGTGATACATGTAGGAAAAATTAAGCAAAAAGTCCAACCTGCTGTCTCCAAGCTCTGGTCTTTCATCCCTTAGAACCTGCATTTGATGTTAAAAATGAAATTTTGAGAATAATTTTAGATGCTTATATAAATTATTAGAATATAAACTACAAGAGATTTCTTTCAATATCTCAAACATAGTTTTCTGTGGGAGGAATTACCTCGATACACACATTTCAAAATTTTAGCAATTAGATCTCATCTAATTTTGGGGCAAGTCCTCATCTAGCCTCATTCCTCTTGTAGTATTCTATGATCAGCAAATAACAGTATGCTTTAATTAGTCTGGGGGAGATATTCCAAGAGTTAATTAAAGTTTGATGCAAATTTGTCATTAAGTGATTTATCATCCTTTGGCTGCAAAGATGTCTCCTTTCTGGTGCAAAGAGCCAGATGTGAAATTCTCATGTGCTCCTACAGCCCAATCAACCTCCCTTCAAGTTCACTGGGTCTCTCTTCTGGGTTCAGTCAGAGCCCATCAGATTCCTGGTGGGATGCTTTGGAGCAACTCAATGTAAAGAATGTGTAACCAGGCGGCTCTGCTCCTTGGCAGACCTTCAATATTTGATAAAGGAAAAGAATGTTTCTTTCCACTTGCTCAAATATTGCCAGCAATAGCAAATGCTGAGGTGAAGATAATGTACCTTTAGGTGTCAGGAGAATATTATCTCAAAAAACAGACAAAAAAAAATAAAGAAAGAGGGGAGGGATAGAAGGCTTGGTGCAATTAAAAGGAGTTTAGGAACTTCACTGAGAAGGTTGTTGAAGTTACTTGACGTTACTGTTACTTTATTGATGTTTTGTCATCAGGTGCTGAATCAGTCCTATCTGATAATCTTCTAGGGGTTATGAACTTGTGATTGGAGTAGGTGGTAAACAGAGCTTGTCTAGACTGGCAGGATACATCTGTTCCCTGGAGGTTTTCCAAATTACACAGAAGAAACCAGTGCCTCAGGGTAAACTAATAGATATTATTTTAGTGTGTTGAGTTCACCACTTCAAGAATGTGTTTTGTTGTTGCACAAGCTTGATAAAATCACAGGCAAAACAGTGGAATTTACACTGACAACTCCTATGGTTCCTGTGGTTTCCAGCTGTATTTCTTTTCTTTATTTTTGAAAACTGGTGGTCAAAATATATTTTACTGTCTGTCCCCTTATATGCCTCACAGAATTTTAGGAGTTTCTCCACTTTTTCCAAGGCAGCTGCTTCACGTATTATAAAGATGTGGTTGGAATTCTGGTGTTTATAGTTAGTGACAGTATAAAATTTTGTGTGTCATTGAACATATATTGGTTTAGGGGTATAAAGTTGAAGTGGGTGAACATAGGAAAAAATTTTGTCCTTGTTGTGAGTCCTTTAGTCACCTAAACTGTCTATATGCAGAGATTAGGAATGTAATGTAATGTATAAGATGTTCTTATCAGGTTTACTTGCAAGGCTGAGCCCTGTGTGAGCAAACAGCGAAGGAGGGAACACTTTCAGTTTCACTCTGTGTGGATGAGCAATATTTCTGAATCTCAGATGTGGCTGAATAAGGATCTGATTGTGGCCAAATTTGGTGGATGCCAGTCCCCAAAAAGCCCTTCTGTCTCCTTGGTCCAGGGCCAAACTACCACGGCGTGTGTAGCTCAAGGCTTTCTCAGTCTCTGGTTTTCAGGGGAAGGTAGGTGCTGTTCTGCTTTGGGAAAGGCAGTGTGCTCTTCAGTGTGTTCATGGTGTCTAACTTCTTGTGCCCTTCTTCCCTGCTCAAATGAGGTGCACTGGTAAAATGTGGGTTTAAGTGGTCATTTCCTCCTTGCTGTTTCCAAGCAGGAAAATTTCTAAGCCCCTGTTAAAAAGCCTGAAGATTTGCTTTGCTAGGTTTTGTGACAGTTTGATCATAACAGCCAGCATTGACCTTATTCTGTATTTCAAATGTGGTTGGACTCAAATGCAACTGATGTGAGATGGTTTCTTTCTGGAAACCCAAGCCAAAAAGTATCCCATGTTTGTACCACCTGGTCCCATACCATATCTCCCTCAGAGCAACAGTGCACACCTCAGATTTGTTGGGGTTTTTTGCAGATAAGAAAGCTTTCCTAAATAGATTCACTAACAAAAAAAAAAAAAAAAAAAAAAAAAAAAAAAAAAAAAAACACCAAAACACCAGAATTCAGAATTTAAAATGAATCTGATTCTTCAATGCCATTCCCACACATTCAGAATTTAAAATGGATCTGATTCTTCAATGCCATTCCCACACATTTTTTGGTATGGTAATGGCTGTTCTTGATGTGAGCTTTCATGGCTGCAATATCCCTTTTCAGTACATTCATGGGGAGTTTTCTTCAATCTTTACCACCAGGTGATGTCAAAACTTTTCTCCCCTGTCTGATACAGGGGAGAAACCAGCTAACTGCATTTCACTTTGGATGTTATTCAGCACATTAGTGATATGTAAATAAACTGAAAAAAGTGAAGAGAAGTCAACAATGTGTTGCCACCACAAACATGTATTTCACACTTTTTCTGTATCAACATTTTAACAGAACATGAGTGATTGCCTCCTTTCCTTACAGGTAGATCTTGCCAGTTTGTACATCAGGACGGGTGCCAAGAACATGCCCACAGTGTTTTTGCTGACAGATGCCCAAGTTCCAGATGAATGCTTTCTTGTGCTGATTAATGACTTGTTGGCATCAGGTGATTAAACCAACAAATTTCTTGAAAGATCTTTTCCAATGACAAATGATCTGTGTTTTCCTTGAACTTTAAAAGAGATTATTTCTCTTTCAGGTATTTGTAGGGGGAGATTTTAGAGAGGCCATATCAAGCCATCCAACCTGAGCATTAAGTCAAATTTGGTTAAGAAAGCATTGCCTGTTAGGAGACAAATTGCTAAGGCTTGTCATGTAAAACTGTATTGACTTGGGGGGAAATGAAAACGTTCCTTTGACTTAATGTTATGTTTGCTTTGGTGTGATTTCACTAACTTCAAGCAATGTCACCATGACTGTACAAGTGTAGCACTTAGCAATGAAGCTTCACCTATATTTTGAAGATTAGAGAATCTGGAATCTGTATGTGGGGGTCTGGGGATAAGATGGAAGAAAAAAATGCATCTCTGGACAGCTGGAGTGCATCTTGAAAGATTTTTTGTAAAGTCATATTTACTTTTGCAACCAGACTAGTGAACAATTTAAACAGCCTGTGGAAAAAATGAACCACAATTCTGTTCTGAGGGGAACATAATTTAGAAGAGTGATTCCTATCAGGGAAAATTCAAAACAAAGTTGGTTCCTAGCCCATTAAAAGTAATAGTCCTTTTAGGCAAAAAGACATAAGGATAAGGAGGAGACTGTTTTGTTACTAGATATATGTAACATCATACTGTAGTTCTGGTTATGTGCTTAAACCCAGGTGGGCTAAATACCATGTAGAAGATTATGTGTCACGTGCTACCTACACCTTTGTCTTTTCACAGGAGGGGCTCCAGACCTGTTCAGTTCATCACTGCATCCTGCAGTGATGAAGACATGAAGGTCACAACTGCAGCAGTTAGAGAAGAAGTCTGAGCCCTGGGCCTGATGGACATCAGCAAACACTCCTGGAGGTGATTCCTGAGGCTGTGGCTGCAGTAAGAAAGTAAGGCATATTTCAGGGGCAAGAAACAGTGATGAGCTGATCAAAATAGCAACATATTTCAGTTATCTCATAACTCAGCATATGTTGGCATACTTTTCTTGAAAATTTACTTGCTGATGTGTGGCACCAAATTTGCCTCTCCCGTGTTACCCCTGTAATAACCTGCCTGTGTGGAGGTTGGTGTACAGCAAGTTTTGCTTCTAGATCTGGCTGTTGACTTCCTGCCTGTTCACAGGAAAGTCACACAGCTGCTGTGTGTCTCAGTTTCATGTCTTATGATATAATGAGGCACTTCAGAAGGAGCTCATGAGGAGTCTGTGGTGCTTTTAATGCAATTGTAAACCCTGTTCACAGGAAAGTCACACAGCTTCTCTGTGTCTCAGTTTCATGTCTTATGACATAATGAGGCACTTCAGAGAGAAGGAGCTCATGAGGAGTCTGTGGTGCTTTTAATGCAATTGTAAATACTCTTCCTGCTTATACACGTAGTAATTCTGTACATCTACTCAACTCTCAAACTTTTGCACAAATGATTGTAATTTCACAGAAAATGTTAGTTTTTTCTACTTTTACTATGTCATATAAAACTGAAAAATTAAAGTACATATGTAGGTGTTTTCAGATTTAAAACTGTTTAGCAATACACATAATATGATACCATAATTGCAACAAGTGTCTCACCTAAACTCTGTTTTAGAGAGGTTGTTTTGAAGGGAAACTGGAGCTCCCTCCTGAGAGCTGGAGAGCAGTAGCTGGGAAAACTGGTTTTGCAGTGGCATCTTTAGAAACTTTCAGGTCGTGTAGGCTTCAATTCACTCATCATCTGAAACATCTCTGTAGCTGATAAGAAAATGAGAAGTCTGAAAATGATTAACCCTTAAGAATGAGAATGTTTTGAAAGGGATATCTGCCTCATACATTTTGTATTAAAGTGATCTCCTTGACTGGGGATTAGAAGAGCCTTCCCATAGCAGATTATTCCACAATGATCTTCTATGCGGGCTCTGTTTCTCAATCTTCTGAGGTGTTTAACCACCACTGTTCTAATGAGCATTCTGATTTGACTATGAGATTTTACCAAGCTCTTATACTTTTTAACATACCACTTTCTCTTTTTCCCCTCCTCCTCTTCCCTTTTTTCAATCCTGCTTAGGTTTTGCTGAAGTTCCCTCCTAACTCTAATTTTGTTACTATTACTTCTTCATTCCACAAATTTATTTTGCAACTTAAAGGCCAATGGAGACTTGTATACAATCTAGCGTGACATCTTCTGTATAATTTTCTATTTTACAGACTTCAATGACATGTTCAATAGTGGTGCTTACCTTCTGCATTTTTATTTCTGACAGTGCTATTTGCCTCTGTTTCATTACCATTGCATTTATATATTTTTATAAGGACGGGGGAAAGTTACTTCTAATACCTTTCTTCATTTTCTCCTTTCACATTTTTACCCTTTATGTTTTCCTTATTCCCACAGTAATTTCTTATATTTTTTCTTTTCTTTCCTTTTTTTTCTTTTCTTTTTAAGGGCTTTTTGAAAGCCAGCTTTCAAACTCCTTTCACCTTGCAACAATTTCATCAGACCCCTACTGTGCAAATTAGCACTTCTGGAGGCAAGAACAGGAGATACCTATTCATGTTGCAGGGGAGCAAAGTAGTGACATTATAGTAGTGAAGCAGACATAAATTTCATGAGTTAACACACTGCTAGATATCCATATGAAATTTTAGTTAGTGCAGGGTGACCTATCACCTCCTCATTTCCCTAGATTTGAAGAATAAAAGACTAATATAATGAGAAAGAGAACAAAAGGGTGGATTCAAACAGCTTCATGTTAAAGCTCAGTGAAGTGATATAGTCTAATTTTTCCATTTCATTTTAGAAAAATCAACATCCTATCGTAAGCCACATTTTCCCTTGAGCTCACTTATAATCTTACATCCTGCAGTTCTGTTTATGATGAGGAGTCCGTAGCTCAGGAACCAAAACTACACAGTGCTGTTCTTTGAATCTCTTTGGTTTTGTGTTGGTTTTTGTTTTGCTTCTTTTCAATCTGGATGTTACAATCAATTCTGCTCTCAATGTACTGAGAACACACCATGTAGGTGCAAATTTGAGTTGAAATTATGTCAGGTGAAGACAATGGGCCGCACCATTATAAAATATTGGTCCACAACTGAAGGGTATCTGATAGGCACCTGAGAATTTCAAAAACTTTCATAGCAAATGGTGACATAAATCCTAAAGGAAGAATTATGCTCAAACAAACAAAGTTGATGAATACTGTAGATGTTAATGTGCTAATAGGTCTAAGGCACACACAAGATGAGGCATTTCGGAAGCTCAGTGATTTGCTTGGGTTCTAGAATTTTTTCAATATCCTAAATCTCTGTGCAGTAATCACTCTTAAATACTCTGCATATCACCAAAATTTCTTGGAAAAGTAAAGGCCAGAAGAAACAATTGTTTCTCGAAAGCATGAATATGATGAGATCAGTCAGTCTTGCTGTCTCTGGAGCTGCATCTGATTTTACTTTACTTTACATTACTTGTATGGTCATGGTAACCCTTCAGCTCTTCCCCAAAAATGTGAACACCATGCCTGAATACCTTGCAGCCTTCATGCCCTACACAAGCATACCCTTAAATGAACTCTTTCCAGTAAGTATGCTCTTTGCAGCATTTCATCTTTGCATGTTTTCCAGGTTCTCACTTCAGTCTCCTCAGTGCTCTTAAACATTACTATATATTCCAAAGTCAGACATGTTAAGTGATTTTTCTTTTGAATTGAATCTCTGTTATTCAGTCCATGTGCAGCCAGTTTTCTTCATGAGCTGCTGATGGGTTCTTCAAATACTTGCTCCTTCATCCTCGAGCAAGTTTCTTCATAGTGTATTTTCCTCGTGTAATGTTTACAGTCCCTCAGTGGTTGTTGTCCCAGTCCCAGCATTAAGAACTAAATTTTCTGGTTTTAGGGGAATGTCATTTCTCCAGTTTCCTTCCAGCTTGGCACGACTACTTTAGTCATCACATCCCTATAATGGTCACCTCTTTCTATAGTCCTGTCAGGATTTAGCTGGCTCCCCATTTTCTATAGTATTTACAGTACAGTAATTTCATGCTTCAACCAAGTCAAACATAGGCAGAGTGGGTGTCCTGCATTGCCACAGGCAATCTCATCCATATTTTTATGATTACTTTTCTTCTAAATTATTCTCTTTCATTTCCAAATCCTCTTTCATTAGGACACATTAGACTTTTCCTTGTGGTTTGTCTTGCTACTGACAGAACATCTATTTTTATTTGTGAATCTGAGAGGAACTTGTGAAGCCCCATCAGAGCTCAGTTTTGGCCAGCTGTCATGGTTTTTCCTTTGAGGGCATAAATACACATCTATCTGCTCGAGTGCTTAAATCTCAGCCAAAAAGAACTATGTTTTTAGGGTTTATGGTTCTATGTTAAACTAATGCTGACCCCAGATTTGTTTTGGATTTTGGTTTGGGTTTATTTTTTGTTTGTTTTGTTTGATTCAGTAGGGAGTAGCTATCGAGGATTTCTAAGTTCTGTAGCACAGAAAACATCTGTTTCTTCTGTTGGCAGGCTCCTACAGAGTTCCTGTTTCTGTATGAATAGCTCCAGGGTTTTCTGATTTGGATGTCAGCCATCTCTTCTTGAGCACTCAGAGAGCTGACTTTTAAGGTTACATCTGTATTAGTAAAATTATGAAGGGCATTTTGTGGTCCTGGGGACTAGTAGCATGAAAAGGCTGGTATCCATATGGCTTAGCTTTTCCCATGCTCTACTGACAAAATGATGGTGGTAGCATAGAGCTGGTCAGCACTAATTCCTGGTCTGTGCAGCTCCTGATTCTTGCAACAGCATTGCTTAGTTTCATATGGGAAAACAATGAGAGTACACTAACAGTTAAATAGGATGGGCCCCGTCAGACCAGTGGCCAAGTATGTGCCAAGGTGCTGTATAGTTTTCTGTCTTGCTCTGTTTGAAGCACTTAGTGAACCTAGAGGGCCTGCATATTTGAGATGAGCAGGAGGAGGCTAAGCCAAAAAAATGAAGTGTAAGATGCACATCTGTAGTGAGAGTGACATGTGTGAGGCTCAAATGCACTCTTGAGAAAACAGGGGAGTTGTGTTCTTAGGAGCAGTGAATGCTACACGGAAGTTGATACTGATTTCACAAGATAACAGTGCTTTTTTCCACAATGATCGTCTTCATTACTCCATTGTATGTTTAAATCTCAAAAACCCTCAAAGAAAAGGATGTGTCTATCTTTGAAAACTTACCACATCTTTCTATTTCTAGATTAAATACCTTCACTGTGATATTTATATCCTGGTTGTCTTGCAAGACATTCACCATTTTTTACATGGAGAATTTCTTATTCTTTGGTGTTTTTTCCCTCTGTCAAATTAAACTGTGATGTATGGCTTGGACAAAAGATAAATGTTTTCAAAATAAGACCCTCTTGCTTATGCAAAGATTGTACAAAATGTAGTCAGTAATAATTACTCAATTTTCCTCACAGCTCTCTTGCTAGCAGATCACACAGCATCTTCATTATTCTGTGTGCAAAGCAAGCAGTGCACAAGATCCTTTGTAGTATAGGGAATTCACTGGGGAGAATGCAAATGAACCCTGAAAACATGCCATATCAAATCTATTCCTGGTGTGAATTTGCCAAACTTCACTAAAACTAAAGGAGAAAGGAGGGTTATGCTGCGGTCAGGATCTGGTTACATTCTTTTTGTGACTACCTTTTCAAGTATATGCTGTATCCTATATTTTTGTTCACAAAAAGTAATTAACTAATAGATAGTTATCTAATTAGGGTATTATATTATATCCAGGGCTGTGCTGGCATTTCCTGCCTAACAATACAGTATAATAGAAATCTCTTAGCTATGTGTTTTAAGGAAAAATAATGGAATTTTGAATAGTATGTCACAGTTTAAGCTCTAGGGCCAGATATTCCAAGTAA